ATGAATGCAAGAACTCTCTATGGTGGTGGACTCACCAAAAGAATCTTCAAAATCACCATCTCATTTGCCCTCCACATCCTGTAGTGATTAACTCAGATGCAAGCCTTTGTGGTTGGGGAGCACATTGCAGTTGTTTCGTGGCTCAGGGGAGGTAGGCCTTTCACCCACATGGTCTGCCATCCAATATCCTAGAAATAAGAGTGGCTTTCAAGGCCCTTCAGACCTTTACCTCTATGATCTGCCACAACAAGACCGCAGTTGCTTACATAAAAAAACAAGGAGGGACACACAGTTGATCCATGCTTCAAGAGCTCAAACATATAATGGCCTGGACACAAACACATTTTTAGCATCCGACAGCAATTTACCTACCGAGAGAACACAACAGCGGTGCAGATTTTCTAAGCATATTAACAATAGATCAGCACGAGTGGGAGCTGAACCAGGAGGTTTTCAGCCAGATAATGGATCACTGGGGTCTACCTCAAACAGACGTATTCGCATCTCCCAACAACAAAACCACCTTGATTGTGACCCAATTCAAATGCAGCCAAGCGGTAGCACTGGATGCCTTGGCCTCCCAATGTTCATTCAATCTGGGCTTTGTCTTTCCCCCCTACCTTCTAATCCCGAAGTTTATTCAGAGGATGACAATCTTTCCGAGGATGGTAATCCCAAGCATACCGTTTTGGCACAGGAGGCCTTGTTTCCCCTCATTGCTGGAGCTGAGTTTGGAACCTCCAATTCCTCTTCACAATCACCATGATCTTCTAGTCAGGGACCCCTTCTACATCCGTCACCGGAGACATTGAATCTAATGGCTTGGAGATTGAAAGGAAAAGGCTTTCAGGTTTAGGATGCTCTCAAGCAGTAATATCAATCCTTATCCTACTCAGAACTAGAAACAGCTCCACAAATGCTACTTATCAGAGAGTGTGGGAAAGATTCAGAGAAGCAGAGGTGGACGAAATCTTTGACGCTTGTGCAGCGCCCCTTCGCTTAATGATGTCCTTAACTTCCTACAGAAGGGCTTGGACAAAGGCTTTACCTGGAATTCACTCAGGGTGCATTTCTGCAATTTCGGCCTTGTCAGGAAGCAGATGGGCATTAGATTAATTGATCATGCAGTTTTTGCAATGGTGTCTCAAAATCCGCCCCCCTGTAAAACCAATATTCCTACAATGGGATCTGTCTTTGATCCTTGAAATTCTGGCACGTAAACCTTTCTATCCACACTCTGAGGCCTCCCTTTCGAACCTAACTCTAAAGACCTCTTTCCTCCTGGCAAAAATCAGCTAAACGCATCTCGGAATTGCAAGCGTTGGCTGTCAAGGAGCCGTTCTGCATATTCTTCCCAGACAGAGTTGTACTTAAAACACTTCGTCAATTTCTTCCAAAAGTTAGCCCTTCATTCCATCTTAATCAAGAACTGGTACTTCCAGCGCTTACAGATGAAGAAGGCGAACCTCCCGCTCTTGATGTAGTGAGTACCCTACAAGTGTATATAAAGACCCCATAACATTTCCGCTCAATGGATAGCTGTTTGATAATTCCTTGGGGAAGCAAAAAGGGCCAAGCGGTGTCATAGGAACAATAGCAGCCTGGTTAGTCAAGCTCATCAAAAAGGCATGCTCCATTAAAGGCCTTCAACCTCCTGAGGAGATAAGGGTTCACTCCACGAGGGGTCTGGCAGCATCATGGCAGCCTACTCAAAAGTCTCTGCTGAAACGATCTGCAGGGCTGCGTCCTGGTCCTCCAGAAATACATTTATCAACCATTACAGAGTGGATTCAGCACTACATACTACGGTTGAATTTGGGAAAAACATGATTGTTTCTGGATGTTCAGCAAACAAATACATTTTCTCTTGGCATTACACTCTCATTGTGATCGCTAAATCCCATGATGTGCTGCCATGATGACCCAGGAAAACGGAAAATGGTATACTTACCTTCCGTAATTTTACTTTGCTGGAGCATCAATAGGCAGCACACCAATCTTTCCCTCCCTGTCATGGCTCGTGATTGTTACTTGAGTATGTATGCTCCTTAAAAATGACAGCTGCCTCCTAAATTTTGGGTTTTCTCTAGTTTAATCTTGGAGCTGGAAAAGTATCTGTACATGTACCAAGTATGGTACTTGGTATGTGAACATCCCTAACCAGGTCATTCTAAGACATTCAGGTTTTTGGAATAAAATCACTTATCTGCCTCTGGTTGTGTTTGGGGTTAAACCTCTGCTCCAGTCTTAGGGTTCTCTCTAGAAATGGCCTCTATTTGACTCTATTTATCTTACCCTAATCCTGGCTACCTTTCCAGTCCCTGTCTCCGAAAATCACAAAATGATGCTATTGCTTCCACACTTCATTATGTTGATGGTGTGCTCAGGGTGATGGGCGGCACTGGTTTTATGTCACATCTAGTGTACTGCACTAAGGCTAGAAATTTCAGTTTCAGGGTCATTCAAATGTTTTCCCTTTATTGCTGGGTTTCATGTACCTTTTGGTGAACACCAAATGGGATTTGATTTGTTTTTCTTTTCAGGGATGGCTTTCTTCTAGCTTTGTCCTATTTTGGGTTACAGTTGTGCCCTGGATTACTTCTCCCATCTGTGGATCCCTGCATTGTTACCATTGGCCTCTTGGTTGCATCTTTGATATTCTGCCCATGCCCACAATTCATCACGGCATACTTTGTGCACTACCGTTTGCCATTCTTCTGCTGCCTGTGTATAAAAGCTTGTCCCCTGCCAGCTTGCTGTAGAGAAGGACCCTTGCTCTCTCTAGTGAAGCTAGGTCTGACTCAGTATAGGGTGTGTCTTACTTTTGTCTTGAGACCACTGCTTCCCCACAGAGAGCAAGGGTTACACTCTGCAGCTGCTGGCAGGGCATGGGCCGTTCTACTCAGGCTGTGGCTGTTTTAAAAAGAAAATAAATGTAAGGGTAGGTGCACACCAGCCTGGTCTACCTTGGTGAACAAACTTGCATTGCATTAAGGTAGCCCATGCATTTGAATAGGCTTGCTAATGCTCCACAATGGACCAAAATTCGGGCATGCAGTATTTTCAGCAGCACAGCAATGCACTGGGAATGTGCGTTGGGGTGCCATTTAGAATGAAGGGCATTGCATTGTACCAACATGCGTTACCTAAGCCCCAAGATACTGAACACCTTTTGATTCACCTGGAATATATTTAGCTGATTTAAATCGAAGGTTCAGCTGGGCTTTAAACAACGACATGTTAATATTTCTGGGGTATTACTATTATTTTTTGCATCCCTGTAGTTTAAATCACTATATATGCAGTCTACAAACTTGCTTTTTTTAAATCTCATGCTAGACTAATGCATGCAATGCACACACGCCCCAAGGGGGATGGAGCCCACTGTGTGCTCACTGCACACATTGGGGATTCAATTTGGGAAACACTCCTTGCCGTGACACCTTCCTTTGAGCTGAGAGTTTTTAAAACCTAGTAAAACCAAGTAATAGTATGCAGTCCAAGGGCCGGTTCACACCATCTGTGTTCGTGGTGCACTGGCTGTTGTTTCCAGTGCAGCCTGAATGCATGACTGGTGCTGTGCGAATAACAAAAGTACGGCATGCAGAGTCCGTAGAACTGAATGAAATGTCACAAGTTCTAACAAAGAAATGAAACAGTGTGATGCGGCTCGATCCAGCACATCCGGGCACACGAACACCAGCAGCCGTGCAGTAGAGCGCAGCTGCTGGTGTGAACATACACTGAAAGGTGCAGTGCCTACAATACTTTTATCAAGTATACATGTAACACGTATGTATGCCTGGCCTGCTCTTACATCTAGACTAGTGCCAGTGGATGTACGAGCCAGGCTTTTCCTCACCAGTCCCCACAAACAATTCCAAATGTTTAAAACCTAGTAGAACCAAAGAAAAGCATGCGGTCTAAAGGTCTGAGGGGGGCAGGTGGGTGCAAATCAATGGCCGCTGCTGGCGCTAATCACATGTACCTGCTCATACGAGTGGCTACATGCTATCAGCGCCTCTGACTTAGCCTGTGGTCGTCCTTTATTGACGCATATTGTCACACTGAAGCAAGTGTGTGCCAATAAAGGATGAACACTTGGCCACATTGTTTGGTGTGCTGGTGACATTCTGTTCTACGTTTGATGCCTGCAGTGCCATTCGCTGTCACTACAGCACCCACCTTTAGGGGTTCTTTGGTAAGGAGTGCGGCAGGACATCCTAAGGACTCTGAGCCCAGGCACGGATGGGTTGTGTCCAGGATCGCCGGCTCCATAAGCGCCCATTGTGTATACTCACATGCCATAGAGTGGCATAGCATAGAGTCTTGTGGGAGGGGGCCCAACGTATGATTCTGCACAGAGGCCCATACTACGCTGCTTGATGGTAAATTCAGCCCTGACCAAAGAAGAGCCTCTCTTGTAGTACTGCAGACCTATGCGCTGCCATTTCCCCAGCACAGGGATAGCTAAACATTAGCCCTCTAGCCATTGTGGAACTACAAGTCTTATAAGGCTTTGCGAGACTGTGACAGTCACAGGCATGAGTTCCAGAAGCTGATGTATGATGGTATTTGTAGTTTCCCCACAGCTAGAGGGCCAAAGTGTGGCTACCAGATAGTTAGCAGTTATTGCCAAGGATTCCTCCAGCCTAATCCTATGAGGGAGTCACCTGTAAGCATCACTTCACGTGTGCATGCCATTCCTTCCACAGGGGTACCAATCTCACCATTGGTGCGGGGGGGGGGGCAGGGAGCAGGGCCAACCCCAGCATGGTACTGACCAGTGGAACCCCCCAAGTCCCCTCATATTACAGCTACACTTTAATGGTCATGAATGTGATGTACAGCCTTGTTACAGCAATCACCATGATAATGTGGAGAGCAGACATTGAGGGTGGTAAAGAGCTGTGTGCTCCATGTCATGTTCATCTCCTTCACTGTGCCCAGGCCCTTATCTCTGTCTGCAACATCCAGCAGCTTTGCATCATTAGCTGTCACAGAGGCACCATTGTTCTGATTCCCCAGCCAATCACAGGCCGGCATGGTATTACGGCATTTATAAATAACACAAATCTCCTTTCCACCTCCTTTCAGTTTGGATATCACACACCTCCCCTCGCAGCTCACAGTTACTATGTTATTATCTGTGCTGCCCATTTCCGAGGCGGGCGGGCGCAGGCGTGTTTACTGACACACAGGTGGGCTCCCCGGCGAAGGGTGAGAAGCTTTGCGTTTGATGCCCATTCTCGGGATTAAATAGTGAATCGGGCGGGCAGGTCAGCCGGTCCCACCTCCTCCTCATCATCATCAGTCCTGCGCTCTGTCAATCTTCGGCTCTCTCCCTCTCCGGCTTGACTTCCTTCCGACGCTCTCTCGGTTTCTTTCCCGGAGAATGAGCTCTTCCTCCCTGAGCACTGACACTCTCCCCGGTAACAGGACGCAGGAGGGCGCAATGAAGGTGAAGCAGAGCGGAGGGCAGGTGGTGGCGGCTGCGGGCAGCACGGAGGAGCAGCTGCTCAGGAAGGCTCACATCACTCCGGAGGATGTGCTCTTGCTGCAGAAGATCACAAGCGGTCAGTGCTAGCTCCTCCAGCCATGTAGACCAGACATCATTAGCTCTCCTCTGTTATTGTGGTCACAGGTCACGTTCATTGATAGAGTCACATAGATTTTGATGTGTACCTGTTGAGAGTGGAGAATGAAAACCTGGACTGGATCGGTGATCCGATGACTTGGAGTCATTAGATACTGGTTCAGGCTAACCAGAACTGGATGGATGCTGGAGTCATGGGGTACCCAATCAGGCCATCCTGAACTAGTTGGATCCTGGCATCATGGGGTACCCAATCAGTCCATCCAGAACTAATTGGATTCTGGAGTTGTTGGGTACCCGATCAGTCCATCCAGAACTAATTGGATTCTGTAGTTGTTGGGTACCCGATCAATCCATCCAGAACTAATTGGATTCTGTAGTTGTTGGGTACCCGATCAATCCATCCAGAACTAATTGGATTCTGTAGTTGTTGGGTACCCGATCAGTCATCCAGAACTAGTTGGATTCTGTAGTTGTTGGGTGCCCGATCAGTCCATACAGAACTAGTTGGATTCTGGAGTTGTTGGGTACCCCATCAGTCCATATATAACTAGTTGGATTCTGGAGTTGTTGGGTACCCGATCAGTCCATCCAGAACTAGTTGGATTCTGGAGTTGTTGGGTACCTGATCAGTCTATCCAGAACTAGTTGGATTCTGGAGTTGTTGGGTACCCGATCAGTCTATCAAGAACTAGGTGGGTGCTGCAGTTATGGGGTCCTGATCAGTCCATCCCAAATTAATTAGATCCTAAAGTCATTGGGTACCTGGTTAGTCCATCCAGAACTAGTTGGATCCTAGAGTCATTGGGTACCTGACTGGTCCATCCAGAACTAGATGGATGCTGGGGTTATTGGACACCTGATCTGTTCATGCAGAACAAGATGGATCATGGAGTCCTTGGGTACCTGGTTAGTCCATTCTGAACTAGTTGGATCCTGGAGTCATTGGGTACCTGATCAGTCTATCCAGAACTAGATGGATCCTGCAGTCTTGTGGTACCTGATTATTTCATCTAGAACTAGATAGATGGTGGAGTAATTGGGTACCTTTTGAGTCCACCCAGAACTAGATGGATCCAGGAGTTATTGGGCCCCTAATCATCCATTTAGAACTGGATGGATGCTGGTAGCCTGAATCACCCCACTGATGGCTCTAGTGGTGATATTTCTCCACTAAAGTTCCCAGCTCCGCTTTGAAGTCTTACTCATGCTGCTGCATTTTTCTGTAATGTAAAAATAAAAAAAAGAGTGCAAGCTTTTTGTTAAAGACACGTCAAGTGGATGCTGAGCTCTTCACTTATTAGAAGCCAGAAACAAGTCACTCCAAACCAAAGTACTGATCCTTGCATTCTATTTATATATGACATTCAAAGCATATGTATGCATTTATTTCTATATTCAAGTGTGCAGCTGGGCCTGATGTGTGCAGAGAAAGGCAGATTAGATTGAATTGCATGATATCAAAACAAACACTTGCAGGGCCTTCCCATGATGCATCCTGACCCAGTCTTCGGCTTCAGGTGGTTGTGTAAGTGGGTTATGTAAATACGTATTATTGGATTGAATGTCTAAAGTGGAATTTGCATATGCACTTATATTTCATGAATACTAGTGTACATAGCCTCAGGCTGGTGATTCTTGGAAGATTCATTTGATAGGGCTGCTGAGGCACATGTTTGTAATGTCCCAAAGCAATGGCACACTGACAGTTGGGCTCCCAGAGAATATTAATACATTTTAGAAATGAGGATGGGATGTCTATTTTCCAAAAATGGGCCATTTTGGGGTATTTCGTACTGTCCTGACATTTGTTATTTGACAGGTTTGATAACAGAAAGCAAAGAAAAGTTGTTGTTTGTGTTTTTTTCTTAATGTAGGAACTGTTTCCTTTTATTTAGTAAAAAAAAAAAAAAAAGCAGTTGTTATTAAATACCACCAAAAAAAAAAGCTCTATCTGTGTCAATACAAAATATGTAAAATGTTTTTGGGCGCAGTGTTACCTGACCGAATAATTGTCAATCCAGGGCTGGATAAATCACAGGAGCCGGGTAGCCAATGCCCCTTAAAACCACAGCTGGCGTCCAACTTTCGAGGTTCTTCTCTAGTTGTCAATGGAACTGGTTCAAAAAACTCTTCTGGCTCCCGGATTGGACAGATTGGCCCCTGATTTCTATATTACCGTATTTTGGCCCCTGATTTCTATATTACCGTATTTTTGCGCTCCATAAGGCACACCGGACGATAGGACGCAGGGGTTCTGTGACAGCACCTGCAGTTAGTGACAGCTGAGACTGGTGGCGCTGTGATTACAGCGCCACCTGTCTCAGTGATTACACAGAGCAGAGGAAGAACGGATGTTCTTCTTCTGCTCTATGGTGGGGGACCCTGAAAAGCACGGCGGGGGCCCCGGACACGATCCCCGCCGCTCGATTTGATACAAGGGATCTGATTAGATCACTTGTATTAAACGAGCGGCGGCCCCACGCTGTACATTTAGCTCTGCTTGTCCATAGCAGGGCTGAATGTACAAAAAAACTACTCGCCCGGCTGCCAAAACTGCATGTTCTGGGCGTCGGGCGCTAGGGATTCGCTCCATAAGACGCACATACATTTTTGCCCCACTTCTGGGGGGGAAAAAGTGCGTCTTGTGGAGCGAAAAATACGGTAATTTGTCTACCCCTGTGTCCGTTAAAATAAGGCATGGCCTAGTAATGAAGGGGTATTAGTCTGTTAGTTAAACACACCCAAAGTATCTTTTTCATTGTAGGATGATTGTTCTTATGGTGAACACACCTGACATTCCGAATATGCTTACTATATGCTTAATATGCTTCAATAATGTGATGTCTTGATTTTGGGCTTTTTACAATTGGGCAGTTTTAAAAATTCTGAGCTTGCACTGGGACTGTAGAGCAGTTTCTTTGCAGGGGGCAGCACCCTCGGGCTCTCTATTGTATAGATTCTAAACAGAGCTTGCATGGTCATCATCTGACCTGCCCTTGCACCACCCCATTGGCTGCTAACTGACATAGCAAGCCTTCGTCACCAATAGATCAGAGGGGGACCAGCAAACTCTGGTTGGATTTTGAACAATTGAGGGCCCAGGCACTCTGGAATAAAACTGCTGATGTAGGCAAGCTCATGATGGTGCCTCCTATGTAGCCATGGAGCTAATTTATCATTGTTTAAGGTGGAACAGGTTATGCATGTTATTACCAAAATAAAGATTATTCTCAAACATTCTAGATAAAGCCAGCAAAAATGTACTGGTGTTTCAGTTCACATTTGCAATTTACTTATAGATGATATGCAACGTTCACCTTTTATTTTTGTTCACTTTTAAAGTGTTGCACATATTCTGTAAGGCCGAGTGGACTGTCAACTTTTCATAGGACTCATTGAAGAGCAAAGAGTACATGCACTGGTTTCCTGCAGTGTACTTGTGATCTGCTCCTTCATTAATAAATCTGGCCCATATCATATAACAAAACTAATATTAGTCATCCTTTCATTTTAGAGTGCAATTCTTACCTGGCATATTGTACTGGCAGCTTGCTGTGGTAAGTGATAGATAACCCCTAGGTAATGTAGGCCCATGCTGTTCACCATATTTCTTCCAGTTGCCTTGGTGATGATGCTTTTAATGTTAAATGCAGACAAAAAGGGTAGAGGAGTATTCAGCGTTACCCCTGGGGAAATGTTGTAGTGAGACCAAAATCAGCGTTTTGTTTATAATCTACGTTGTCTTTTATTCTGTGGCAACTGTTTGTGCTTGCTCCCCTTTTTTAGGCCCTTTTCTGTATTTCCCTTTTTTTTTAGGGTCTGTTTACACCAGCAAGACAGGTAACAGTGCTGATGCTGATGTGTCGATCACGGCTCATTACGCTGTTTATTTTTTTTGTTTTTTTAAAACTTTATTGAACTGTATTGGCCACAGCGCACTGCAGTGCAAATTGTTAAGGGCCCATTCTCACCAAATGCAGATTGCCTTGTCTGTGCGTTGGGGCTGCACTGGCCACTTTTTCCAGCTCAGCCTGAACGAACAGACAAAGCAATTGAGCAGGCCCTTAACCATTTGAGGCTTGACTAGTTAAGTGTTTTATTTTTTAGGCTCAAGGAAGAAAGGTCACCTGCACTCCATATAAGCATTGAAAGATCAAAGTGATTTTATTTATAGAATATCACGTGGGTCATATAGCCAACGTTTTGGGACCATACAGGGCGTCACTGTGTCGTCTACATGACATTAGGTACATTTTTATTTAATCACATGGACTGTTTATTAGATACAGGTGCTCCTAAGTGTTTCTCCCCTGCCCTGCGTGGTATGCTATTTTAGTGGGGTTGGTGTTAGCTCACAACCAGCTATGACTAAGGCCGAGTAAGGCAGAAACTCGTCAGCGTTTGTTCTTTGCATGTGGAATAAAGTTTGAATTTCTTTGGAAGATCATTGTGTGCTGGTTCTACAGTTCTTAACCATTTGAGGCTTGACTAGTTAAGTGTTTTATTTTTTAGGCTCAAGGAAGAAAGGTCACCTGCACTCCATATAAGCATTGAAAGATCAAAGGTTTTTTTTCCCAGAATGTCACATGGGCCATATAGCCAACGTTTCGGGACCACGCAGGGTCCCTTTCTCAGGGCTTCACTGTTTCGTCTATATGACATTATGTAAATAAAATCACATTGATCTTTCAATGCTTATATAGAGTGCTGGTGACCTTTCTTCCTTGTGATTGAGTATATGCACGGCACCCTCCATGGTTGTCACTATGAGCACCAGGCCTTGCTCAGAACGCCTAGTCCTGGAGTCTAGTCCTGGATTTAATCTTATTTTTTAGGTTTTCTGCATACTTGTTCTTTGCATGCACACAAGTATTTAAACACCTTTTGCATTGTATCTGAAACAAGTCTATTCATTCTTGAGCAGATATTAGAACTGCATTGGTGACCAGAGTGTGCAAACAACTGGTTTAGTCAGGA